AGTTCATAATTTGAATGTAGGAACGTAAATACATGTAAACAGTATTGGGGAAATATCGAAAAATCAAAAATCATCAATGCCCAAGAGCACGATTGATTTTCATTTAAAAAAAATCAACAAGTAAGCAACTGCGGATGATTTTACCAGCTGATATCATAGCTTCGAATATCAAGCTAACAACACTCTCCAGCTACAATTCTAACAGAACCGTGGCGAGTTGGAGTTTCATGATTTTTGCTTTAAATCCGAACGCGACCCGAAATTACCGTCATTGATAGCAGCAGTAGCTTTGGTTCTGCCACCGGTGAAGAGTAAAGAGAGATAGCAAACTTAACTTTCTCTTACGAACACAGCAAAAAAATAATTTTGATATCACGTCAAAGTGGATGCACTACAATCATGTCGAAAATATGGTGTAATATTACTTGCTAAAAAGGACAAAATTATCATTAATACAATGCATTAACTGACATTACGCTGCTTTTACTGCATTTGTTTATTTATGTGGTCATAAAAATTACATGAAATTTTCGCCATGATTGTTGTGCATCCACTTTGATGTGATATCAAATTATTTTTTTGCTGTGAATAGTCTCGCAATGTCAAAGGAACTTGTAACATCAATATTAAGCATGATATTTTGTTCCGATATCACGCGTGATATTAAGAGCTTATGAGATAAGACAAATATGATTTGATTGATGATTTTTCCTACACTGCATGTAAGCAAAATTTAGTTCCCTCTAATAGACACAAATGGATGGGTACAGAGGGTATAACGCGACGTGAAACATAATAATAATACTTACAGGGACGGGAGTCATTCAACATCCCAATGAATCAGTTTTGATAGCTATCGTTTTTTGAATCGTAAAAACATTCATACACTATGTGAGTGTAGATCCAAACCTTGATAAGCCAAACCCTAAACCACTTTTTTTTTATCCCAATATACCAAAGTAACCATAGGCAGTTTATTTCGCTTTTTTGGTTATATACGGGTGTCATCAGAACTTGCAAACACTGGTATAGTCGTTATTCAGCTGTATATAGCCAAAAAGGCGAAGTAACGTGCCTATGGTTACTTGGGTGGTTGTTTTAAGTCGGCTGATTCTTGTTAAATCGAACCCTTTAAGCGACGCATCAAATCATATGCCAATTGGTGAGAATTTTCCTAAAGGTGTCGGAACTTTTCTAGCGTTTCCAAAATCTTCCAGATGTTCATTGATTGGACGTAAAGATCCCTTAATATTCCTGAAATTCTTGGAACTTCCCCAAGCTCCACGTAACTTATGTAAAGGTTTTTAAGTTTTTGTGAATTTATATCGATGTTCACTGTTCTCTGGACTCCCTATAAATTCGCTGGGCTTTTAAAAATTCCCTGTACTTCTCTGAAGTTCCCAGAACTTCTTAAAGTTTCCCACAAAATTTCTGATTTATATGAAGTTATTTGATCATTGGATTTTCCTGAGATTTACTAGAGAACTTCTTAGGATTTTCCTTAGATTTTTTAGAGAAAGGAGATCCCAAAATTTACTAGATTTTTTTCAGAACTTCTCTTAAGTTGCCGTGATTTTTCTAACGTTCATGCATTTTTTCTGACGCTCCCGTTATTTTTAGGTAAAAAAATTCGGAGCTTCCCTGAAGTTATTGTAACTGCCCTAAAGATATAAACTTTCCTCTCTTCTTTCTTCTAAATCTTTAATCTTCACTTAAGTTTTTGGAACTTGCCTACTGTCCCGAAAATCATCCCGAAATTTATGGATCTGTGTGTATGAGTGGATACAATCTATCTCTCAATGACCGGCAGTGCTTTCATGGAAGAAACCTGCCTGCACCTATTTGTCGATTAAACATTTTTAACCTATATATGCAAACATTTTTAGCTCTACTGTAAATCCAATGACCCATTCCAAGAATGTCTGTTCATACACGTACATTTTGAGGTCATCTTCATATACAATAAGCCCCGCATGAACACATTCACATATCAAATGGATATCTGAAGTGTAGTCACACTTCCATAATCAAACAAAATCTTGATACTGGCACCTGTTTAGTTATTAAGTTTTAGTGACTGGAGACGAACCAGCCCAGGGCTGAAAGTCTCCTTAATAAAGATATATAAAAAAAAAAGTTTTAGTTGTAATGTATATGGATAAACAGAAATAATTATATAGATGGTAAATAAACTTAGCTGATTGTTCTAAAGCGTTAATTAGAACAAACGGCACCTCATATCACGGAAAACGAAGGATTTGATTCTACATTCAGCTTATATCACTTATCACTGCGAAAAACACTAGGGACATGTGGGATTTGATTATTATCAGTTGAAACACTTATTAATACCACTTCTGTGCATTAAATTTAACCTTTTCAAGATGAAAATTGTTTTTTTTTTTTTGCAAGAGCGACAACGACGCTCCAAAACAAAAACACGTCATTATCGCAGCGCGACCTACTTCGATCTCTCTCATCCTGGAATTTATGGATCCTTCCTGAAAAAATTGCATGATCCAGTTTTCGGAACGTCTCTGAAAGTTGCTGCAACTTCTTGCATTAAAGTTATCTGATCTTTCCCAAAGTTTCCTAAACTTTTATAAAGCGGATAATCTTCTCAGCAGTTGTCTGAAACTAATGGAACTGCCTTGATGTTCTCTGATCTTTGCTGATGTGCGTGTTTTCTTAATTTTTCGAAATTTCTGGGATTTTTTCCGGAACGTTCATTAAGCTGTTCCCATTAATTTTCTGATGCTATCGGAACTTTGCTGAATGTTTCGAATATTTGTTCAGGAACTACTATAAGGTGAACCGCTATAGAAACCGTACTTCTGATTAATCTCATTTACGCCTCGCAATTTCAAGAGCACAAATATCAGCTCTCACGAATCATACAACAAGGATACTGAAACTTAACGTATGCAGCCGTGCAGTAAACAGGGAGTTATAATGTCATGGGCGGTGTCGCAACAGTGTCCGAGATTTTTGCTCTAGTGATCTCTTATAATGATAACGCAAATCGGCCATCCTTAAAGTTCCTACAGTTTACTTGAAGTAAATTGAACTACCCTGAGATTTTTCTATGTTCCCTGATGCTCTTGTAGTTTTCCTCTCGCAATTATCCTGCGCAGACATTAATGAAACTGTCTTGAAAATCTTAAAACTTCCCTTTAGTTTCATGGTTTTCTGTTAAATTCCTGATATATTTCTGAAGTTATCTAAAATGCTCAACTCACTCTTACAGGTTTTTAAACCACTCCAAAAGTCTGGAAATTCCTTAAGTTATCGAAACTTCTCTGAAGCTATCGAAACTGCCCTAAAGATATGTATGCTTCCTGAAGCTATTAGAACTTTTTTTTTTAATATTTCTTCATTTTTTCTCAAGTTCTCTGAAATTTTAAACTTACTGGATATCCCTGAAATTCTCAGAACTTCTGCATCTGAAGTTCCTGCATCTTCTATGAAGTTAATGAAACAGCCTTGAATTTTTCGAAACTCCTCTGTAGTTCTGAAATATTTGGGTTTTATGTTTATTTTTTTTATTTTTTTGTAAATAAATATAGTAAACTTTTGCTTTATTTTTCCAAAAAGGCATTATTTTTCTCTACAAATTTCTGAGACGTCATTTCGATCAGATCAGATGCCTTCCGCGTTACAATTCTTTGAAAAAAATCATAGACGGTATTTTGAAAATTTTACAAGATCCAAACTGGCCGAATTTTTGCAAAAATGTGAATCATTGTCTATAACAAACAATTATGCAAAGGTCGAGAAGGTCGATTCAAAGATCAAATGCAATAAACCCATCATGTGACACATCAAATTATATGGGAATTTAAAAACCATTGAACTGGTAATCATAATGTAATCATATGGGGAAGTGGCCAGTTTCTGACTAGGGTGAAAATCCATCATGCGATACCTCAAATCACATGATAATTCATCTATCACATCACATTATATCAAGAACAAGATGTGAAAAGGGCATACAAGCTTTTTGTAAACAAACCTTCTTATGCCCTTTTCTCGCCACCCATATGACACCAACGCAAACCATAAACATCACCGAGTAGGGAAACTATTCCCTTCCCGATGATGTTGTTGATTTGCGAGGGCGAATCTCGCTTGGCGAGAAAAGGACTCACAAAGGTTTGTTTACAAAAGGCTTGTATGCCCTTTTCACATGTGACTCTTCAAGACCAACAATTGAAATGGCCTTAACTTCATTTTGTAAACATGAAGTTTAGACCATTTTCTCGCGAACCGAAGTCCGCAAAGGCAAACCAACATAATGAACAGGTAGGGGAAATTCTCCTCTACCCGATTGTGGTTTAGGTTTGCGAATGAAGGTTTCGGTTCGCGAGAAAATGGCATTACAAGGTTTGTTTACAAAATGGAGTTAAGGTCATTTCAATTGTTGGTCTTGTCTTGATATGAGCACTTTTGTTGGAAAATCTATGAGTAAGAAAGGTCAGATCTCACCACAGGTAGATTAATTCAGGTTTTGCAGGATTTAGGATGATTTATCATTCTTGTCTGCTTCGATCTAGAGGCATTCAGGATTAGAAGAACGCTATAGCCAAACAAGATGATTGATGGGTTTAAATTCTGTCAGGTAATGGTCACCCTATTCCTCAAAATTTTCAGATCTTTCTATCTCATTTCCTGGCGCTTCCTCCGGATTCCTTTTCCTCCAATGCTATTACCTACCATCCATCCGTAACCATTTGCGTGCGTTGCTTTGCTTTTGTTCTCTGTTGATGCACTATACTTGCTTGGGCCATGCTCTCCTCGTAGTTATGCTATGCTCCTCGTGGTGCACCGGTACTCTCCCTTTCACGACATATGTATGTATACAGAACGAGCATAACGCCCGTCGTAAAAGAGACCATGAGAAGAGTAACAGCAACAGCAGTGTGGCATTGGGTTCGCGTTTGCGTGAATTTCGGTGGTCCTCGATGGTCGGTCGGTTGTGGCCGCATCAGTCGTCCGCGAGCAGTCCCAAGTATCGGATCAACCGTGCTGTGTTTCGACCGACTTTCACGGATCGTGACGGGAAGTGTGTACGCTCTCTTTCTCTCGTGAATTGTGTGATCTTGTTCTAGGATAACTGTTTCTGAACTTGACATCGACGACGACGACGACGACGACGCAGGAGCAGTATTCGCAGAGTAGGGTGGTAGTGGGTGCGTGCTGGGAAGAAAATACAAATATCCGCATATCAGTGAAAATGTAGTTAAAGAGCAGTGTATATCCTCATATCCACGAGCGAGAGGAAATTCTAGCAGATGTGATAAGTGGGAAGCTGCAAAATATAATATTCCACGCGTGGAGGATTCGCTTTATGTTGTTGTTGTTGTTGTCGGGGAAAGTGGAAAAGCTTCGGAAAGGAAATTATATTTTTCTGTGTGCGCGAAAATTCCAACCCCGAGGATATACGTTTCCGGCGAAGAAAGAAGGAAGTATATGGAGGATCGAATTTCGCACGGCTTGTTGTGAAGAATAACCCAATTCGTTGTACGCGCGCGATGAATAAATGGTGAAGGGAAATTTGCATACAGTGTGATTATTCAATTTCCGAGAAGATCCCCGAAAAATACGAGATTTTCCTCGTTCGAGTTGTTGCTTCGAGACAGGTGAAACGGAAACATGAGCCAATTTGCGACAGTGACAGTTGCCGACTGGCAGCAGCGAAATTGCGGTGTTGGATTTCGATGTCGACGATGCAATTAAAGGCATTTAGCAGCAGTTATATTTTCATTCCGATAATCAAAAAGTGTACCAGTGATCAAAAGTGGGGCTTAGTAGTTATTAAGTCTATCCCGTTCTGCCGTTCAGATTTCCAAAAATATAAAGTGCATACACCCACGTGAGCTGCACGCGAGTTTTTGCGCCAGGTTGTAGCTGGCGGTCGGAGTGAATAAACCCGGCAGTGTATTTATTTAAATTATTTATTTAAAATTTAATTTATCAATTTACGATGATGACCTCGACGATGCTGGTAGTGTACTTACTGGCGCTTACGGTGGGGCTTAATGTGTTAACTGTTGCTGATGGCACCATGCTAGAAGGACTGGTGGCACCCATAGGTACGTACGACGTATGGCGACTGCACACGGTATTGTGCTGGAGCAGCAGCATGTTCACTTGAACGGATGATGCTGGGATAGATTATGTAGGACCGTATAATTAATTATGTGACATGAAACTGGGTTGCTCCAACAAAGTGCTGATTGACTGTACAATATTAATCAGGATTTCTGGTGTTAGTCGATACACATTTATCTAGCATAATGATTAGTAAAATTCATGCTTCTCGGTGCTTATTTGCTGGCAATTGATAATTCGTACTAGCAAAGAGGATATTATTTTTGCTAGCCTCTCTAGCCTATTATCTCGCGATTATCTTCGAGTCTCTTTTCGCTTTAATTGCCTTATAAATCCTATACATTTCAGTGCTGCATCCACCTGCCATTGTGAGCTGAGGAGGTATAGAGCTGCATCTTATTATATGTAAAATACTTCTTCATTGCAGTAGCAACTATATTATCCATGTATTTCATTATGTCATATTTTAATATTCTGATATATTTCATTTCTCCATTGCATATATTTTCATTATATAAATACATACTGGGTTGGGAGGGAGCATCAGGGTATCATTCAAACTGAAACTGGACGATGGTATGATTGACAGCCGGAGTCTAGGAGGGAATAAACACTATCATTTTCTTTATCCTACCGATTCGATTGTGGTGGTGTGAATTCTACTCCAACAGTTTCAGGGCGATTGACGCGCCCTTCTTAACAAACCATCCAGTAGGAAGCTTAATAAGTATTGCAAATTGTGTTATTCGATTTGTTGGAGCGTATCGTTGGAAGGAGATTCTTAAATTCCCGTGGATTTCGCGTAAGTGTCTCTGCTTACGGGTCCACCCCTCCGTTTTTGGCCCTTCATACAGCGATATAGTGAATTCATATCGGTAGCTCAAATTGATCTTGCTATTAAGTGGAGCTGCATACAAGCAGGCATGGAAAATCATTTGCATTCATTTCGTGCATTCATTTACATTCATTTGCCTTTAACTTCCTTCTTCAACAGCATTTTGCAAAATGATGTATAAAGCTTTTGTAGGTTTTGTTATTAGCTACAACTTTTGTAAACAAGTCAAATCCGAATCTCTTATGCATGAAGAAGCAGAGCGAACAGAAGCCACTACTGTTTTTCAGTGAATGTATTTTACATTCACTGAAAAACAGTAACAAGTTCTGCCCGCTCCAGTTCATGATGCATAAGAGATACAGATTTGAGTTATGAGCAAAACTTGCAGCTACTAACAAAACCTACAAAAGCTTTTTACATCATTTTGCGGAATGCTGTTAATGAAAAAAGTTAGAGGCAAATGAATGTAAATGAATGTACGAAATGAATGCAAATGATTTTCCATGCCTGCATACAAGACAAGTCTTGAAAGGATGGTGGCTACCTTACATACATACATACATACATTATCTTCGAGTCTCTTTTCGCATTCCATAGACATATTGATTGTATTTGAAACAAAAATAATGTTGCTGAAATTTCCAGCGATTTCTGTCAAAATGACAACGATTCACTGAATATTTAGTAAATCTGTTATTTATTACTGAAACTGCAGCACAAGAATAAATGACGGCGTTTCTATTGATTCTTCAGCAAGTTTCAGCTTCATAGTTCGGAACCAGCTGCCAAATTATTTTAATCACGTTTTTTAATCACAATCACGCAAAAACACGTTTAAAGGTACGATAAAGCAAATTATAATTTTATTGATAGGTCATTAGTCAATTACTATTGGACAATTTCAGAGTACTTATTTTATCAGTAGGACTCATGGGGCAATTTTGTATGTGTCAGAAAGTTAACTTTCCTCCTAACCTCCAATTAATATGTTTGCAAAAAAAAAGACTGGAGCACCTGCAAAAACATAAGTTTTTAGTTATAAATCCCAGTTGTCTATCGCTTTGAACAAAACAATTTCCATTGCTGGTTCCATGTGTACACGAAACTATATAATATCACATACCTAGTTATAAACAGTGTTGGGAAAATATAAAAAAAATCAAATCTCACCAATGCCCAAGACAAAAATCAACAAACATACAGCTGCGGTTGATTTTGCAAGATGTGATATCGCAGCACGGAATATAAAGCTTACAAAACTCACCTGCTGTAAATCTCAACAAACTGTGGTGAGATTGAGTTTAATGATTTTTGCTTTACACCCGAACGCAACCGAAACTTCCATAACGGTTGGCAGCAGTCACTTCGCGTCTGCCATCGGTGAACAGTAAAAAGAGATAGCAAACTATACTTTCTCTTTCTACGAGAACGAAGTGCAGCGGAATCATTTTTGTGTCTAGCCAACTCTCCGCTTGATTTTTGCACGTTGTGAATAGTCTCGCAATATCATAGGAGTTTGTAAAATCAATATCAAGCATGTTATTTTGTTCCAATATCACGCGTTATATTGAGAGCGTACACACTTAAAAATTATCGACGACTTCGGTTATTTTTACCGAAATCTGAACAGCTGAACTGTTCGGTAAAATTTAAGCAATTCAATTGCTTTTCAGCTACTTTGAAATTAAATCTCCACTAAAATGACAAGATTTGATCATTTAAACAAGGTTGAACATGTTTTGAAATTATTTTCAAATTCAATAGCCTTTAAAAAATGAAGGTCAAAGTTTTACCGAACATTCAGCTGTTCTGATTTCGGTAAAATTTACCGAAAACGGAAACAAAATCTTAGTGTGTATGAGAGCGGAAAAATATTATTTGATTGATGATTTTGCCAACACTGGTTATACAGACATGGTAAAAACACCGCTCGGTGCGGCTCGGTGGCAACCTACTCATGTATGCACAGCACTGGCTTTCTTCGATAAAGCACCCGGTGTCGGTGCAACATGTTGGCACGCCACCGAACCAAAAGAGAAACCCGAACGCGGTGCTACGCGCTTCGGCTCGGCACCGTGCGGCACGGAGCCAACGAACCGCTCATGATTTCGTATCGTTCGTTGTTGGTGTTGCGCTATACTCGGTCCCATTTGCGTTTTTGTCAAAACTGAGTTTTTCAATGGAAGTGGTAGCAAGTAGCTCATAGTTTCATTATACTCGATGAACTCAAGAAATTTGTTCTGAAATTTGAAAAATGGGCAAGCAGGTTTTCCCTTTACATAAGAATCCATGGTGCGAAGCAAACTTAAAACGCGTTCTTAATTGCGTCTGTCATTTCTCGACAGGAACAGGGTCCGTTCGGATACGGATGTGTTGGCCATTTTCGTTGGCACCGTCGAAAAATTTTCTCTTCCGGCAAATATAGACATTTTCTGATGGAAATTTTCGGTGGAGTGAAAGGATAGTACAAAGTCCGCCATGTTTCACGCGCAGTCTGATGTTTGCTTATGGATTTTCTCATAGGAGTAAAGAGCTACAGAGTCGCCGTCAACGCCAATTCTCGCCTACGATTATGTTTGGTACATATTGTGCCGCGCTGCGTAAACTAGAGAAAGTTTTCTAAATAACGTTATAGTCAAGCAAATTGTATTCACCAGTGAAAAAAAGAACAACAAAATTAACTTTTAATTGACCTTTGCGGGAAAAAAACTATGGTTTTAAGGCAATAATATTTGCCGCATTAATGCTACATGGTGAAAATCGCTGTTGCATTAATTCGCATTAACGGCATTGGCTCTTCACAGAGTTATAGTTCCTTTTGGTGCTGTTCATAAACTACGTAGACAATGGGGGGGGGGGTTTGGCAATTGTCCACGGTCCATACAAATTTTAAAATTTCAGGGGGTCAAGCAAGACTCCCAAAAAACTGTATACGTAGTTAATGAACAGCCCCTTTGAGATTTTTCATTTGAGCGACAGAGAACGGAACAGCCCGCCATGTTTCACGCACATAATGACAGTTGTTTGTGGGGTTTTCTCATAGGAGTAAAGAGGTACAGTATCGCCGGAAAGGTCAATCAGAAAAGGAACGAAAAAAATTAGCAGACTGCGATAGTGGAAAAGAAGAAGCACTGCATTCTGTCTGGCACCGGACCCTGGCACGGAGCCGCACGGAGCGCACCGAATAACCATAGCACGGCACCAAGCCGAATAAAACGGCTCCGCGTTCAGGTTTCTTGTTCGTATTGGTGGCGAGCCGACAAGAGGTACCGAAACCGAGTGCGTGTTAGCTTTGAACGGGGAGCAATATTTTTGCACGGCTCGCAGTGCCGGTGGGTGTTTTCCCAAGTCTGGGTTATAATACAAATACGCACCGTGTCAGGAAGCACAGCAACGAAAAAACGTCAATGAAAAATTAAATTTAAAGTTGATAGTGTAGGCAAGTTTGCCCGACCAGCCATTTAAGTAGACAGGAAGCTCGGTTTACTGATTATCAGCAAATACACTGACATTTGTTTGTTTTTTCTAGATTTCAACAATGCCTAAAATGCTAATACTGAATTCCAGTAAACTAATATTTCGCTGAACCCATTTCACCCCAACTACAAGGGACAACCCTATGGGGTTGTACGCAATGGTGACGTAGGACTACGTGGACTTATATAATAAATCTTATTTGATAACTGCAGCAGGAGCTTGTGTTTTGTGTAGGAATTGGAATTTGAGCGGGGTTCTCTCTGTTTATACTCTTGAGTATGACACGCTTGACATAGATGGCCCACAGCGACTCACGATGAGCTACTGATTCCGATCAATAGCGGTACGGTTTCTTCCTCCTTCTATGGATGCTCATTAGAGTGATGCAAATTTTGAAATTTTCGCTCCACAATACTTAAACGATTCAAAATCGGATCCTGACTAACCCTCAAAATTTGAACCCATTTGGTGAGAAACTGAGATGGCACAAACCATTTGATGTTTGTATGGGAATTACTATGGTAAAACCAAGATTTTTGTCCACGTCTATCTAATAATTCACCATATCGGTCTGCTTCAAAAGCTTTCAACTTTACTTGTAGGAAATTTTCCCAGCTACAACTTTGCTCAAGACCACTTTTTGATTAAATGCAAGGATCGAAAGTTATT